CGTTTTTTTTTGGGTTGGCGTACGGGGGGGGGGGGGGGGGGCATTTTTTTTTTTCGCGCACCCCAAATGTGTGCGGTGGGGTTTGTCGGCTAGACTGGTGGCCGTTTGTCCGACGCTTTAACCGTCACAGGATGAAGGGCGATAGCCGCCATCCTGTTTGTCGTGACTGGCTCCTACACATACCCTACGAAGCTCTGCTGCGTCTCTCGCTCTTCGGCCGGCACCAAATATAACCGCATCGTTAACACTTGCCTCTTGGCTGCCCGAAACCACGTGTCGCCCCTGCACTGCTGTGACACCCAAAACAGGCAGCAGGTGGAGGGACTCCTCGACGAGAACCCCAAGTTCCGCGCGTTGGATAAGGCCATCGCGAAGGAGGGCTTCAAGGTCATCCTCCTCCTCAGACTCAGCCCCATCTTCCCGTTCGCGCTGAGCAACTACCTCTACGGCGTCACGTCGGTGGACTTCCTGGAGTACATGATGGGCACTCTCCTCGGGTTCTTCCCCGGCACCTTGGCCTACGTCTACGGTGGAACGGTGAGTTTGTTGTCGTTGTTTCCACTGTCGTCGTCGTCGTCGTCGTCGTTTTTGCCATTTTTTTTTTTAATCATTGTTGTGTGCTGTTACTTAGTGTCGTCATCGTTGTCGTTGTTGGTGTTTGTGCTGATAGTGGTGATGGGCGCGGTAGGGTTAGGGTTATAGACTTGGTCGTCAATTGTCGTCGTTGCCACTGCCGTGATCGTTGTCGCTCCCCCCGTCGTTGTTGTTGACGGTGCTCTTGGTGCTGACAGTAGTGCTGATCGTGGTTCTCCCTCGAGTGGGCCTCAGTGCACACGTTTGCTGTGACGAATTACGTGATTGCTGTGGGCTTAATGATGCAGCCAAGTAGCGCGCGTATGCACACGTGAACAAAGGCTAGTGGCACTTGGCACCACCAGAACAAACAACGACTCGGCCCAACTCATCTCTGCCCAAGCCTCCCTGAGCTGAATCGTGAAAACCCCCACACTCCCCTCGCTCTTATCTCCCGCTAAATAGTTTTTTTTTGATCGATTCCCCCCTTTTTTTTATTCTATTTTTCCTTCTCTCCGGCCGAAAAAACTCACCCGCTCCCATCCAACACGAAACGTTCTTCTTTTGTTTTTTTTCAGCTTGGCAAGGTCATGACGGACGGTGGAGGCATGACCCTGCCCTGGTACGGCTACGTCGCCGGCGCCGCCCTCACCGCGTACCTCCTCAAGACCGTCGGCGAGATCGCCACTGCCGCGGTCGAGGAGATGGAGGAGGCAGACCCGTGAAGGAAGCTCGCGGAATGCCCGCGGTACGGTACGGGGCAGGCAATCAGCTCAGAAAGGAAGACAAACAATCTTTTCGACCGAGGGTAATCGGAGACGTTTTTGGGGGTGGGGGGAGGGGGGCGACGCCTCAACGGAGTTGCAGAACCTGTGTCGGAAAGGGAAAAGGATGTTGGAAGCGGCATGCCTGGACCTTTTCTGTTCTGCCGAGGGAACCGAGAAGTCGTTCCGTCTTATTTTTCTCTTTATTTGTGTCCACGTGGCTGATGTGTAGTCGTGATTGAAAAGCCATGGTGTTGGTTTCGAGGGCGCTATGTCTCCCGACCACCTCGAAAATATGTCATCCGTCTGTTCGCGGGAAACCGTCTACTTACGGTTCCTGTTTTGGAAGGGCTTGGTACTATGCGGCCACCAGCAGACAGCAGCTGTAGGCGCAAGCCAGCATTAGAGCCTGGTTTTCTAGCCCATGTGAGATCAGCTTGGACCACACAGCTGTAGCCGCAAGCCGGCGTTAGAGCCTCCTATCTCCAGCTTGTGTGCAGATACAGACCCGTAGGTTTAAGCACGAAGCGCACGTGTTCGCAGGAGCCGTGGAGAACCGGCACACGTTGGCAGGGTGCAGTACCTTTCGACGCGTCCCGCGTGATGGCAGCTTCCCTGAGTGGTCGTCCATATAAAACGCCTATGCTTTCGGTGGGAGGAAATTGCTGCTTCTTTGCTGAGTCATGTTGATTACTCTGGCTGCTTGCATCTTTTTATGTTCGAGTGAACTTCCGGTAGTGCTGGATGAAAAATCTGTCCAGGCTTCGGTTTGATTTAGAGCGCTCTTTTATAGATTTGACCGTTTCGATGAGGAAGATCGATCATGAGGCAGGGGTGTAGGTTCTTGCTCTCTGTTTGTGTCTCCGTTGACAAGAGAGCCTTACATAAGTAGTACAAGTAGTTGCTTTTGTAGGAGGCGAAGTGCTATGCCGGTGCTCGTGTTTTGTACAGCATAGAGGGGAGGGAGGTGGTGGGGGGCATAGCTCCCTCGAGGGGATAAGCTAACGTTGCACTTGTTTCGTGTTACTGCCATCTATGAGAGATTTTACAGCATCACGTGGCGACGCTCGCCTCTCAAAATCGATGTGTTGGTTTGTTTTTCGCCCATTTTTGCCGAATTTCGGAGAATATAACTAATGTTAATCTCTTGGTTTTGCTCGGTTTCTTTCACCGTACACGTTTTGTCTTCGCGTACGCTATGGGGGGTATATTCACACCTCGTGCGTCTGAAAATGAGCTAGGAGGGCTTGTGCGGGATGCGCTTGGCGTGATTCTGCGCGTCTCCTACTCCCTGCTCAAACGCTTCGGAACGCTTGTTGCCAAAACCTTGCAAAGCGTTGGCGTATAGCGTGTTGCTTGTCGAGATGAACGAACAACTCCGTCCGGTGGGCATTTCCCTTGGTACGGGTGGTACTCTCTAGGGGTGCGTGTATGCATGTGGCCGTCTCTGCCGTGTCAAGTGTCGTAAATCGCATTGACAATGGCAACGGAAGGCACTTCCAAAAGCGTTTTCTAACAACTGATGAATAAAAAATAGCGGGCAGTTCAACCGTGGGAACTGCCATTGATATCCAAGGTGTGTATAGACTATGCATACAATAGTACTCCGTTTGCAAGAATGTACGACGACACCAAAAGAAATGCTACCAACTCGAGATAACTCGAGACAACTACCACAGGACATGTTGAAGTCTTCTCCAAGAAAATTCAGTGATCACTGCTGGGTCATACTGGACGTCGAAAGGTGAGTCTCCTTACGCGTATGTACGCCCTCTGTTCGAGGAAGCTAGTTCGAGGAAACATGGAAACATCGACGACGTGAAAAAGTTACCCCGTATTTTTTCATGGTTTCTAGTATTTTTTCATGGTTTCTAGTGTCGCTGTTTTTTCATGGCGCAGTTCGTGTGGGTTGCTGGTCCTTAGGCTGCTGCAAGGCGAGTGTGACACCACTACGCAGCCCAGACGAAGTGGAAACATCGGTGCAAGTCTGCCTCTCCCCGACAACTTCCGCGCCTGCAAAATGCAAAATGGTCGATACAGCGATACAGCAGTCAAAGATGCGGCGGAATGGGAATCACGCCGCATGTATGTTTCTCTTCGTACGAAACGAGCTCGAATCATGCGCATACCCACGACCGCATAAGCAGAGGAGGAGGGGCGATACGAGAGCATACGCGCGCACGACCCGTCAATCGGCTGTACCAGACATACTGCAAGGGGTTTTCTGGTGATAAACTAGCAGCTACGTCCTGCATATCGTACACAGAGGTGCCCTCTCTTTTTCCCTCGCCAGCGTACGGGATGCCTGAAACAATTTACAGTCTAGTGCCTCATGTGCCGGATGTGCCGGTCAAGCCGCCAATGTACAAGTCCAGACATGATCCCGTCTGTGTCCTGGCGGGTTCGACATTTGGTAAGAAATAGAGCGACAGGTGGTACTGAGTGGCATATTTGTTTTCCTTAATAATAGGCTTGCTTTTGTTCATCTTGTTGCCGGGCGAACTCGAACTGCATATGTTGTACTTCATAGATGGGCCTTCACGTTGCCGCCTTGCTCTCCGTGTTGTACTGATTGGTATTACACAACGTTGTCCCCGTTGGAATGCGGTACGTCGGGCGTGTGGACTCACACTTTGCACGTCTCGACACCAGCAGCTATGTAAACTGCAATATCAGGCTCGAAAATACTCACCTCAATCTCAGCTAGCTGATGTTGCGCACACATACATGCAAGTCGTACACAGTGCATACAATAATAACAGTACTGGCAACGATGTTTTATTCGCGACAAGAAATGTTTACATAAACCATGCCATTAGTCTCCTATGCCACTCCTTCAATAAATCCATCGCGTTCTTCATCACGTTCTTGTGCGCCCATGCGCATCCCGGTAGCAGCGACCTATTTCCAGACACCTTGAACGTAGTCACCACAGCCGCAGTATACAGTAGTAAAAGGTACGGAGTCGAAGGCGGAAACGGGCTGTCCCAGTTCGTTGACATTGTTCTCACAGGCGTGTCCTGTGTCCGTCGTAAGGTACTGCATAAAGCAACGGCAGCAGCGACAGCAATAACCAGAACAACAACAACAACGAACACTCTGGGACGATGTCGTGTGTTGGTTGGCTTACATTCCCGCGCACGAACTTGCTCGGGCCGCTCCGTCAGGCGCCTTCGGTACGACACAGCCGATAGGGGCGGCGGTGTTGAAGAAACAGGCATCCGGCACTTTTGGGCCGCCTGTGGAGGCGCTGCGCAACGATCCAGCCAAGTTCCTGAAGAAGGGGACCAAAACGCAAACGGGCACGGGGGCGTCGGGCGATAAGGACTCTGGCGGGGATGCAAAATCATCAAAGAAAGGTCCTGCTCCTGCCTTCACGTATCCTGGCGAGAGGTGAAGCGGTGTCGCCTGCACTCAATGGCCTGCATTGAATCTTCTTGTATGCTGTTTGGTTTTTCGGGTGCTCAAGTCTACTGTTGGAGTTTACGCTCGCGACAAAAACTAAGGCAATTACCGCAGGAGGAAAGGTGGGGCAACAAAAACCAACCAATAAAACGACCCCGGCTGATACGTTGAACATATACACCGGTGGCTACTTTAGGCTGGCTCCAGAACAAATGGCGAACACACGCACACACACGTAGCGGGGATGTTGTCAGAGTTACGCTCGCAAGATGGAAACCTAAGGCTGGACAAGACATCAACAACCCAGCGACCGATATTGTGCGAACAGAGACAAGAACGTCCTCCTCCATACATTGTAAATGTGTTTATCCGTGCCACAATTTCTAGGCGCAAGTCTCTACCTTTCGGTATGTTTGACGCATCACGCAGGGATAATTTTCCACTTCCTCCCCTCGGTGCTTACAAGCAACTTTTGATGTCAGAAGGGTTTTGCGGCCCTCTTCCTTGTTGTTGAGGTGGACTCTCTCGTCTGTACGCTTTCCCTTTCGAAATTTCGAGTTTTGTTCACTTGGGAGAGATGTCGAACCCACAACCTAGAGCCAGAAAGTTTTGCGAGGTCGCCGACCTAGCCACATAGCCACAGCAGCATTTGTGTGACCGATTTTCCACTACAAAAAAGAAATCCGCAACATTCCGACCAACGAGAGACTCCGAACCCACAACCTAGAGCCGGAAGGTTATGCGAGGTCGTTGGCACACAGCCACAGTTGTGTGACCGACCTTCCCCTAACCACGGCCCAACCTACGTACAGGAAAGCGATGGTACCGCGGCGAGATGATTGTCCGGTGACCGGCATCGTGAGCAAGGCCAACTTCGTCACCGCCAACGCGGTCGACACGATCCTGGCGGTGCCCCGACGCGTGGATCTGGAGCCCGTCAACTACCTGGAGAAGGAGGACTACGGGAAGGTTCCCAAATACCTCCAACAGGTACGTTGTACATATGGATGTGTTCTGATAAAGGGTTGCACTCGAAGCCGTGAATGGATTTCCAAGTTGTTACTTGGTTGTCGCTATACCCATTCGATCTGTAATATATCGTGCTCCAAGAAGCCTTCCATGGTGGTGGTGTACTTCACACTGTCTCCGAAAAGCGTGGCGTCCATTGCTGGTGCTGGAACACAGCCAAACAAAGAAATGCAGCTAGTGTGACACAAAAATATCCAGACGCATAGTCTACACGCGAGATTGCACCGGTGTTGCTGCTTCCGCCACGATCGGCCGGGTCTGTTCTATGTCCAGGTGAAGAGCGAGATCACACGCGAGAACGCCATGATCGACATGTTCGTCAGGGAACAGATGGGTCTCGAGGTATGATCGTGAGCAGAGGCTTGCAACGTTATGTCTAGCCAGCAGCTACAATAGCACCCCAACCCACCTGCCGGATATCGCAATTGTGGAACTCACGGTCGGCACTCTCGTTGCTGCATTTTCTCAGGACAGTAGCAGAAGATTTGCGAAACAATCATAGTGCATTTCTTTGTTCTGCTTGACGGATAATGGTATGCTGCAGCGGAAATGGCCTTCATGTTGAGTCAGCCCCAATAACTGCACGTTGAAACGATTCCCGGCACCTGCACCTCGAACCGTCATCACCCTTTGGCCTGTGGAACCACCTCCCACCAACAACTCATGGCTTAAGGTCAACAGCATGCAAAAGCAGCAGGTCACGATTCGGTGTGCACATGCAGCGGTAGATGAGGAATACTGATCCAGGTTTTCACGTCGTGTGATCCGTGCACGATACGCCCCCAACAGGTCGGCGATGATGATGACCACTTGGAGGAGCTGCGAGAGCGAGAGCGCACGGAGCTCTTGCACGCCCTCAAGGCTAAGTGGGATACCGTCAACAAGAAGTACCAGCTGATGGTACGTTTGGTGGAAAATTTATTATTCATGCAACGCAGAATCACACCCGGTGGTGGGCCAAGCAACGGGAACAACTCCTTCTGTTTATCTACATCTCTTACTTACGCAAGGTGTTGATCTAGTGATACTTTGAACATTTTAGTACCCCTCACGACATGGCTTGGGAATTTGACGGCTTTGAAACTCGAGGCGTACGTGTAGCCCTAAATGTAGACGAGGATAACTCAGCAGTGAAAGGTACAACGCCTACCAAAGCTGATTTTACTACCCTGGATCGGCTGCCATCCGAAGAGACTTAAAAACCAGTCATGAATTCCTCCAACAAACAAAGTTACTGCTTGTCGAAGTCGCTCACGGAATGTTCTAACCTATGCGGAAACTCCGGAATATGTTCCTACTTGAACCCTATCCAGGCGCACATGGTGAACTTGGACACTTTCGGGAAACTACGTCGCAAAGAGCAAATGGAAACGCAGCTCAAGGGTCTGGAGAAAGATATTGAAAAATTGGAAAAGACACCGGTCCTCATTCGCCCATGAGGGGAAGGGGGGGCTGCTGGACAGAGGAGGAGTAACCGCTCGTGAGATTGCCTGCTCTCAGATGTTTCCTAGAGCGCGGAGCACTCTCTTCCAGGCGAGACGGAGGGGGGGGGTAGGGCTCATGGGACTGCTACCCTCTTCGTATTGGCGGACTTCCCGTGCACCCGTGCATCGCTTGAGCACACGGAACGAGCAGACGGGCCGGTCGCTCTCAAGTCTGCTGTTGGTTCGTTTCGTCTGTCTGTCTTCAACATCGTTGATCTGACAATCTATGTTTCACTGAGGTGGTGGAAAAGTGCGCGCCTTGTTGCTTCTTCTCGTTATTGGACCCAAACGGCATGGCCCTCGATTGAAGAATGTAAGGAGCGGACGCGGTGTAGTTCTTTTTTACGAGGTGCATCGAGGTGTAACCTTCTGCGTGCTTTTCGTTTTGAACAACGTGGGCGGCGAACCTCTCTCCCGCACCCCAGGAGGACGAGGACGGGAGGGAGCATTTCGTGTAACCTCTCTTGACCATGCCATTTTCGGTGATTCATCGTGTTGACTGCTGTTGGTGACGCGTTTTTCTCCCGAAGGGTCGGGAGCAGAGGTGACGCGAAGGACTCTACCGGTTGCCGTCCCTTCCAAATATTCAGATACGAATATTGCGCGGAACCGGCGGATGTCGGGGGAGGACAATCCCTGGGGGAAGCGCGAGTGAGCTAGATACGTCTCGATGTTGGATCGATCACTCCTCTCCCGAGGTCTAACATGTACAGCAAGAAGCCTACACAACGCGGGACGTTATTTCGCATGTCTGAGCGTGGGGTGGTGTTTGGGATGAAAATGACCATGATCATTAGAGAGGTTCACCGCGGTGTGATAAATCAAGACGATACGTTCTACATTCCCGACAAAAGGTCTGTAAAAAAATATATGCATCTGAAGTTGGCCGCGCGTTCGCAACTTGGACCATCGTGTAGCCAACAGCACGCCTGCCTGGCGATGCTAGCGCACGCATGGTTCCAAGACGTACGACTTCCTGATAAAGCGTATGTGCGGTGTTTTCAACTTTACATTTCACAGGGTCGCAAAAAAGGATCAACATATCACCACTGTCGCCATGCCGGCCCACGAAATCCACGGGTTCACAACCAACACGCACACTTGCCTATAGCCGCATTCGGTGCACAAGCCATCGACAACACCAACAGCTCTTTCATTCGGGAATAACAAACCCACGGCATAAAAAAGAGTCGAGATACAAGTTGCTGCACACATCGCCGGCACCGACCTACACAACGAAAAACGCACGTAGTGTTATCTTCACCCATCACCAATTCGCGCAGCCTGTGGTCTTCCAAATCCCACAAACTGTGTCGATACCCTCTAGCTTTCCCCCTAACATCACGGCAGCCGACGCCACCATGCACTTCGCGATAGAAAAAAAACACACAACAATGAACGAATCTCTTCCGACGAATCGACGAGCAGCTCGACCTCCAACAGAGTGGGACAGGAGACGACCGACCTCTTTGTTCGTCTCACCAGCACCTCATCTCGCCACCTCCAAGCCCTCACACCCTCCCCACCACACCACTTCACACGCACAGCTCATGGCCTTTCAGAAGCATGTTCTGTTTTCAACCGCGCTGGGACTCGGCGTCTTTTCATTTCGTCAGCCGGTGAGCACGGTCGATGCCAATACTGAAAAGAGACACACACTCACGCTACAATATTGACGACATCTTTTCATTGGTCAGCCGGTTAGCGCGGTCGATGCTAATACTGAAAAGAGACACACACTCGCGCTACAATATTGACGACACCTTTTGATTGGTCAGCCGGTGAGCACGGTCGATGCTAATACTGAAAAGAGACACACACTCACGCTACAATATTGACGACACCTTTTCATTGATCAGCCGGTTAGCGCGGTCGATGCTGACAGAAAAAAAAGACACTCGGCACTACGCGACACCCCCGCGTTCCCCAACCCCACGAACACCGCTCCTCTCAATAACAAACCCGCAGCGGGCGTGCACGGGCACGCAGGGCGACATGTCCAGGGTGATCTCTCTCGCAATGGCCGAAGAAGAACACGGCGGGGGGGGCGCCGACCGGGACCCTACCCCCCCACCCCCCGAACCCCCTCCCCCGCCGCCAACGTTGGGGTCGGGCGGATGCACGAGGGAAGGGTTCACTCCCCCCCGTCCCCCAAGTCCTCTTGCCGCTGCCGCCGATAGCGATGACAACGAAGACAAATAATTCTGGTCGCGTGGGTTCGGAGTAGCCCGTTGCCCGGAGCCAGATTCGGAGGAGGGTGGGGGTTGCAACGACAGCCGGTAATCTCGACGACGGACGATAAACCTGGGAACGAGCGTGCGAAAGGGGTGGTGCTGTTGGTTCTGGGTGCATGTTTTTCGTTTCGTTATGATTATGTTCGAATTTAGTAGAAATAAGATACAGAGGGCACGGTACAGCAGGTTGCAAAGGACGCGAATGCAAGGTTTCCGTCAAGAGTCGTGACGTCCCATGAGGGGATGGATGAAGGGCTGTATCATTCGTCGCGAGCAATCTCGCGTGTGTTGTGGGCAATTTCTGTTTGCTATCAGTCTGCAACGTTGGTGTGACTTAATTGTAGGTGGTGTACACGGAAATTGGTTCCCTGTGAGGAGGAGACTAAGATCGGGATACTATCCAATGTGTACGGTATGCAACAAACAGCAGCAGCAGCAGCAGCAGCAACAGCTTCACCACCACCACCAGCAACAACAACAAAATCGAACAGACAGTACCGCCTCGGCCGTTCTTCTCGTGCGATTCAGGTACATCCAACGGGTGGAATCGCATGACAATTTTTTCAAAGAAGTCAAGATCAAAGCATTAGAGTAGTCTAACGGTTAAAATTTCGATTTCTACAGTATTTTCGACAGCCTCGGCGCTCTCAAGCTTGCCGAGCGTGCCTTTCCTACTCATCCAACAACGTGAGCAACGCAACCGCCAACCCGTACCGTACCTGGCGTTGATGCACTGTGACCACAGCAGTCCCATCGCAGGCACGCTGCCGCCGCCGCCGCTACCTCCTACCACGCCCATCGTCCCCTGCCCTCGGCCCCCCCCTCCGCCGATCGTCGAGGACCCGAACCTGGCCGTGACCTATGCATGCGTTAATGATAACGCCATCACCAACAGCGACAGGAAGAATGCCGGAATAATCGTAAGAACGTAACGAAAAAACATGCAAACAGGACACGGGGTGGTCCATCCGATCAACGAGGGTGAAGGTCAAGGTTCGTCGTCGACGCTTCTGCTGCTTTCAGCAAGAGGTAGATAGATAGGTAGGTAGATGGAGAGATGGAGATGGATAGATATAGATTGAGAGGTAGATAGAAATAGAGAGAGAAACAGAGAGAGAGACAGAGAGGGAGAGAGGGAGGGAGAGAGAGAGAGAGAGAGAGAGAGAGAGAGAGAGAGAGAGAGAGAGAGAGAGAGAGAGAAGAGGGAGACGGAAGCTACTCTCGACCGATGAGCACAAAAGAAACGAGAAACACGAACTACGCATGATTAGCGTCTGCCGCACCAGTCCGGTTCCTCGCTGTTCAGCGTCTGGTGGAATCGCGGTTACGAAGACAACATCCAACTCTATGGATCCCCTCCGTCTCCCTTAATTCACTCTTCACCCTTCGAAAGCTGACTTTTGCTGCACCTCTGCAAGCTCTGGAAGTCCACGTGCTCGATCAACGACAGAAAGGTTTTCGCTCGATATATCCCGTCTACTCACTGCTGCTGCTGCGCTTGGATTGCCATCGCCTGTGGACGTACAACCATTGTGGCTATGAGCCCTCCCCCCCCCGAACACGCCACGGCGCTTCGCGCTTGGTGATATGAGAGCCCTGGTTCGGTGAGAACCCGGCGTGCTCCGTCCCGGCTTTGTAGGGATGCGAGGTCAATGGTCAATGGTCAATGGTCTAACGACTACGGATGCAGCTCACCCTTCATGCGACTCGCCAAATACCTCACGGCGCTTCGCGCTTGGTGATGTGAGAGCCTGGTCCGGTGAGAACCCGGCGTGCTCCGTCCCGGCTTTGTAGGGATGCGAGGTCAATGGTCAAACGACTACGGCATGCACCACTATGAGTACACCCCCCCCCCCCCACAAACACCTGGTTCACGACGACGAAGGCAGCACCGTGTCGATCGCCCAGCCGTTTCATCTGCTGCGACAGGCGCCCGAGCAGTCTCGAGCGCTCTCCGATGTCCCTGTTAAGCCGCCGTTTGTGGTCGTCAGAACAGGTTGGGTTTCCGTTCGATTGTTTTTTTCCGGGAGTGGGGGTGACGCAACCAGGAAACGAATGAGGATGGCGGGGGGGAACCTGAGATGACGTAGTTCCATACGGACATACCCGAGGAGAGTGTGGGGTTGTAAACGGTGTCCTCCAAGCTAAGCGTGTGAAAGTGGATTGGCACCTTTCACATGTACAGCAGTCGTGGCCAATGCGCGGCAGAAGCGCGGTATGGCTGGACAGAGCTCATGTATGACTTGTCGCACCCAAGAATTCATACAATCCACGCCCCATCGCTTGCTAGTTGAGATGGCACGTGTCAGAAACAAGAAAGCATGCACGCCATGATGGTGCGTGGGCCGAGATCCGAACTCTTCAGTTACAGGCGCAAGGCTGTAGGGTGGGAGGAACAAGCGGCTTTTAGAAAAAATTTCTTGGGTGATGAAGATCAAGGAGCAACACGTTCAACAGACGGCATTATGCAGTATAACACCATGACGCACCACACGCATCGAGAGACGACCCCAGAAAAAAGAAATAAAAAACGTACCCACGCCCGCGGCCCATATCGCTGCGAAAAAGTGCGGCGATGGAGTCGATCACGACGAGTTTGACGTTCTGCGACCGCATGATGTGCGGAAGGTGCTCCATCTGGTGAGATGAAAAGAGGCCAGTGGGAAGGGGAAACGGGGTACACACGTACCGGTGAGAAGCGAGAGAGGGTTTCTTGGTGTGTCCGGTTTTCGAGCAGTTGCGGGGTGCAGCAGTAGAGGGTCGGCACGGGAGCCGATGTTACGCGAAAGCGTGTCCATCCGCCGCAGGTAAGAATGCGAACGCCTCCTTGGTGGGGAGGGGGGGGGGGGGGCAGGGGTCGAGAGAGGTGACGATGGGCAATCCAGTTCGACTACAATAGCGCTCAGAGGGGGGGGTGAATGGCAACAGCAACTGGTACCCCGCACTGCTCTCTGAGTTCGACTATAATAGCGCTCAGAGCGGGGGGTGAATGGCAACAGCAACTGGTACCCCGCACTGCTCTCTGAGTTCGACTGTACTAGCGCTCAGAAGGGGGGGTGAATGGCAACAGCAACCGGTAACCGCACTGTTCTGTTCTATCTTGCGACTGCCGCGCGTTTCTCCTCTGAAAGAGTCATTTAACTCTCTCCCTAGTCTCTCGTGTAGATAAATAGCCTCTTACGGGGTACACACATCATACGCCGAGAGCAAAACTTGTCTCTGTGTATGGCCGTTTTCAAGCTGCAAGCGCATTTGATTTATTTTTAGCTCGTAGCGATCCATCACCACCACCAGCCGTAGCGTATGTGCGGCGTTAAGATGCACTCCGAGTCTGGCTCTAAAGGCAGGTACGAAAACACGGTCATGTTGCTGGTGCGAAACGTCAACCTGAGCCAACGAAAACCCGTAACCAACCGCGGTTGTGGAGGAACATTTTTCAACCCAAACATCCACACAACACCACAAGCAGCAACAAGTCAACTCGCCTCAGCACACAACTCTTTGCAGCACAAAATCACCATAAAGAAGTAACACCAAAAGATGTCACAGCTCGTCGCAGAACACAACGTCGCTACACAAAATCTCCATGAGCAATACAGCTCAAACATGTAATAAAAAAACCGCATCCGCTAACTCGCCACTCACGATGATCATCATCTGGTCGTCAAGGGTCTTGGCGTTCTGGATGCACACGCCCTCCATCAGCTTCTCGGGCTTCACACCGTGGCGACTCTAAAATACATCCACATGTGGTTCATTTTTGACAAGCAACGTTGCGAGAGAGAGGGAGGGAACAATTCAATGCTGACACGACCCTTGATTCTTGGTTGTGTTCTCATTTATTGATGCGTAAAGTTGCGAAGGAGCAAAAAAAAAGGCAATTCTGAACCAGACACATACTCTCATTTATTGATGCGTAAGGTTGCGAAGGAGCAAAAAACAAGGCAATGCTGAACCAGACACATAGAATCGTGGGCATCACGATTACTTCACGAAACACGTCGATAGTCGTTCACTACAAACTTCCAAGCAGACGCTGGGTCGGCGGGGGAAAGGGTCAAAACGCAGGAGCAGAGGCTTGCGCCGATGTGTGGGTCTCTGCACTACAATGCTAGCAGCAGCCATCCCGCAAAAAAAACAACTCACCAACGGAAACCAACGGAACAAACACTTCAGTTTTGGCTTGTCAAAAGCACGGCCCTCGGAACGGTCCGAGGGGTCTAAGGGGGGGCGGAGATGTCAAACATCAGGTTGTGCCACCCAAACTTCGCTCAGAACAGTCAGTGCAACCTACTCGTATGGTGCGTGCACGTGTGTAGGTGTGCGCCCATCTATCAACGGGTGGCCGCCGTACAGACGGGCCCCGCCGATGAGGCAGGTCGTGGTGGGGGGAGGGAGGCCCTCTTGTCGACGGAAACGTTAAGGGAGATAGCGGAGAACTCTGTGCATTTGCCGAACAAGTGCTGAATAGGTGAAACACACCGCGGGCGAATTCTCGAAGGGGCATGCGTACGCATGGGTAATCATACAAGGTGGGTATGAGAATTTTGGAATTTTCTCGCTCGTTGTCCCACGCTACTGTTTTGAACCCCCCCCCCCCTTTCCCCTCATGGCGCAGAGCTGGGCACAGAGCCATCCCCCCATCGTGTCCTGGCCTGGTCTCAACGACTGGCGTGCTTCCAACAGGCGACGGGATGCTCATCTCGCGCGCACCCAAAAGCCCTACACCGTGCTCGGCATTCTATGTTGAATAATAGCGCCGCCGCTACACTTCTACTACCGTTGGTGACACACTATACCGCACCCGCCGGACCTCGATTACTCCACGACGGAGAGGATGCAAAAAATTGAAACGATGAGTTTTCGGAAAGCTCTCGACGAGACGGCTTCAACGCCGCCGTTTTCGACACCTCCACTGTTTTTGTCTGAAAACCCGTCTAGGGGGTGTGCTATCTTGTGTCATCTGGGGTATCCCTGTTACTACCGCATGCTGCAACCGCAACCGCAACCGCCGCTGCCTGAAGCAGCCGCGACTGCTGCTGCTGCTGCTGCTGCTGTTGCTGCGTGCGTTTCGTCGTCCCACTTCTGCTTCTGCAGCTGCGACTTTTGCTGCTGCTGCTGCTGCTTGTTTCCTCCCACCTGGTAGGTTGACGCCATCTGCCGCAGCCTTCGGCTGGGAAAATCCCCCTCGCCGCACGTAAGAACGTAAGACTTGCCGCCGAGGCCTCCTGCCTCCGGTGCTAGCTGTGCCTAAATCAAGACGAACAGGGGGCGGACGTGCTCATGTACTCATGTATTGCATGCCTTCGTTGTCTGAAGACGAACAGGGAGCGGGACGTACTCATGTTTTGCATGTCTTAGTTGTTAGACCACTGACCACGCGTCCTCGAGGGGAAGGAGTATTGTCCCCACAGGACCGATCACCGATGGCCAATCGCCCGTTCCTACTTTGCCAAAGGCGTCTCAAAAATATGTTTTCTCCCTATCCTATTTCTTCGTGTCGATATCACTTTCTCTCGCCTTATCAGGAAGGGGGAAACGTGCAGAAGGAAGGGAGGAGGCACGGGCCAGGGGGGCTCCGCAGGGGGGTGCGCCTCCCATCGAAATCAAGGGGGGTACGCTAACGAGGAAGCATCGCACGTTTTTTGTGCACGGCGCTCCGCGGTGAACGGTGCGCACGCCCAAGTTGTCGAGGACGTGTCAGTTGACTAATCGGGGGAGATTCGTCGCTGAACATCGTGCTACTTTTGGAAAGACGGACGCCCTACATTCTGGGCAAGCACCACGCCCCCCCCCCTCGCCCCGACCCCCACCCCCGTGCTTCCTTTCTTTCTACTATTTCGTGTGTTTCCTCTCTCTTGGACACGCCGTGTTTCTTGGAAAGCGTAGCCTAATTATCTGGGAATCGAACAATGGGTAGTGCAACACGCTCCGGCCACTTGATGTTGCTTCCAACAATGCCTCTACCTGAAGAAGCAGCTGAAGGCAGAGCTGCGTTTTGCCGGCCCCCGCCTCTCCGGCTATCTGCGATGCATCGTGCAGGCGCAGGCCGGTCGGTCGTGGCGGACAGAACGTTAGACCGAGGCAAAGAAAAAAAGACAAAAGACAGGAATATTGACGAGTGGGTGAACGTGAGTACAGCAGTGTGTGTTGAAAACCGAACCAGGGATTTTTCGGTGTAGTGGTGGCGGGAGGACCGAGAGAGACAGACAGACAGACGAGAGAACCGAAAGATAATCACCTCCGTGACGCCCTGCACGCGAACCCCTCCTTCGAAAGCCGCGTCTAGGCTGGGGCACCCGAACGACAGCCTGTCCAACCTCGCCGCGTCTTTCGACATGGCCAGCGCGGTCGTGCACTCGGGCGCCGTGCCCGCGAGCCAGGGGTCAGGCTTGCTCGATTTCCCGGAGAGTCGGTGCGGCTGCTGGCCTGAACGACCGTGTGGAGTGACGCACAAGAAAGATGGTTACCAACAGGCAGAGGAACTGATTACATTGGCTTAAACGACCATTGAAGGGAAGCATCACAAGTATCAACAGGAAAGAGCTGAATACATTGGCCTGAACGACCATTGAAGTGAAGCAAGATGGTTATCAACAGGCACAGGAAAAGAGCTGATTACAGTGGCCTGAGCGACCATTGGAGTGAAGCAAAATGGGTATCAACAGGCACAGGAAAAGAGCTGACTGCATTGAACCGGGTGGTAGTGCCAAGGCCAAGTGAAGACCGTCTGAACCTCATTCTCTCGGGGTTGCAAGTTTCGCGATGCTTATCGGGAGAATCTGGAGGCTAGCACGTGTACGTCAACCCACGTGTGGCATGCGTGTCCACACTGGCTGCACGGGTAGGCGGAGGGGGGGGCGTACTCTCATGTTTTGCATGCCTTAGCGGCTAGACCATTGACCACGCGTCCTCGAGAGGACGGAGCATTGTTCCTAGAGGGCCGATCACCGATGGCCAATCGTTCCTTCCTGCTTTGCCAAAGGTGGCTCAAAAATGCTTTCCTTATTCTGTCGATATCACTCCCCGCCTTTTCAGCCCACTTCCGATGCCCCAGTATAGCTACCGTATTCTCCTGGCTATTCCATGCGGGTAGGCGGGGGGGCGGGATGACCGCGGCCACCTTCATTGAAAGAGGTTGATGCCAATGCTTGCCCGTCCGGTACACACTTCATTCGGCGGACAGCACTGCACATAGGTAGACGTGGCACCGTTCGAGGCAAAGCCATCTCTGAGTTTCGTGGGGAGCAGATTGCAACTGAGAGAGGCCCTTTCGATCTCCTGTTGCTCGTTTTGAGGCTCGAACGAAAAACTATGCATAAAAAATGGCAAAATGGCCATGCTTGCCCATGCAAGGCAGAAGGGGGATCGCCCTTCTATGTACAAACACATACCGACCGCTCACCCACGAGATCTCCGTAGATATGCATACACCTGTAAACGAAAAACACGTCGACGGCGACTGCAGACTCTAAATCCACATGAAGCGGCGCACTTGCGTGGTTCTTGCGAAAAAGTAAACCGGGTGCTCACATGTGAGTTGCAATATTGTGTATATCATCACTCTCTTTCAAACTGTGTGCGACGCAATATACCACCCCCCTTTTTGCTCCGTCGACCTTTTGCTTCAAACGGCGATGCGATGGCACCGGACGCGGAAGGCGGTCTCTGTTGTTCAGTATTGCACGATTAAGTGCGCGTCGCAAGGCGTTGCTTGCCGAACGCATACATACCGCCGTGTCAAGACATCGTTGCACAACAGCAGCAAAGTGGCTCAGTCAATCAACATCAGCAGCCGGCAGTCGTCTTGGCGGTAGATCCCGCGGTCTACCGTCCAATCCAGCACCAGCAAGGGCCAGGCTGCAGGCATTGCACATATTGGTGGCATTTTTCGCGTGAGCTGGCTGGGGTATTTTGGTTGCTTCGCAGCAGCTCCAGCTTGTCTTTCATAAAGGTGCTGTGCTCTCGTCTCGTCGTCGTGTGTCTGTGATGAGCCTGAGAGAGATGGCTGTGGGTTGAAACAGCCCAACTGGCACTTTTTTCAAAATTTGAAAACAGGACAGGGAGAGAGGAACGAGCGTAAGCTGCTTGCTGTACACCACCTACCGTGAGGAGATTGCCGTCGATTTACTCCGTACTGGGGTCCCGGCGGACACCCCACGCCACTTATGCCACCACCCGACACCACTCGCGAGCGAGAATCCATGCTCATGGACTTCCTGTTGCTCGATGCTATTTAGCCAACAGCAAGAACACACAGCACTGCACAGCAGTCCGTGTAGCAGATGATCGGCAGATCCCTTGGGTTCCAAAAATCATTCCGCGGCGCCCCTTACAAAACGGTGTGCGCTGGTCGTGCTGCGTGTGCTGCTGACTCTCTGCCTCTGCTGTGCACCTCTCACTATCTGCCCGGCTAGGACTATTTGCTCTTTTCTGTGAAGGCGTCGTTGTGCAGCTGGGGCGCAGAGCACGTCCGCTTTGCGCGGTCTCTCTGTACGTGGACGGAAGATTTAGATTCGGATCGTTGGACGCACAACAGAGTCAGGTCGTGTTTTTTCGTTTCCTCGGGCGGAAACTGCAACAAACAGCTTTGCCTGCTGCGTGTGCTCTTCTTCGCCATGGAGGTCAGAGCAACGGTGCCGCAGGTCGACTGCCCGTCCGCAGACGGCGCGGGCATGCCGCCGCACAGCTGGTCCCAGCTCGACGCGGAGAAGTTCATGGTGCGGCACGGGCCCAACTATTCCAAGAACAAGCGAAAGGGCAGGAACGCCGGAGGTTCGTTCTACGAGGCGAGGGCGATGGATTGGTACCGCGGTACCGGCAAGGTGGACGGGGTGGCCAAGCTGGCAGCGGCGGAGGGGCTCCCCGAGGCGAAGTTCAGCCACCCGTCGGTGCCGTCACTGCTCGTGGTGAACGTGCAGCTGCCGATGGAGGTGAGAGAGGGCTTGCAGCAGCACCAGCACTAGCGTTCTGTCGGATTGTTGATGGGTTATTGTTCGGAGGCGCACAGGCGCACACGCGCACCACCTCTTCTCACATCTCATGGAATGCTACACAGCAGCACAGCAGATGGTTCCGAGAGCGAGCGATGGAGGCACTTGTTGTTGGATTGCTTGTGTGCCCTGGTGTCCGAAGTGGTAGGATTTACGAGCAGTGTAGCTCTCTTGCGGTTGGGATTGACGAGGACCGGTAGCAAGTAGTGGAGATTTTTCCTTGCAACCGGGTGAGCCGTATGACCCGAGTGCAACTCGGAAACTGTTGGGGGAGCATTCTAACGGGTAGGAGGTAGAAGACTCCGTTGCAATATTGAAACGAGCACTTGGCATTACGGCAGCAGTGGTGCACCTATTCACTCCCTGTGACTGCATGTCGGGCCTCTGTGAAAATCCGGAGAATCCTCATTTTTTTTTAATGGAAACGAAGGAGAGCGGTGTTGTGAGCTTTTTACCATTCGTGAGAGAATTAAGGAAAAATAAATACACTCCCAAAAAGACTACCCATTCAAGACATGTATACCCATGGTCGAACGGGATGTGGTTTCGTGAGAGAACGATCGATTTGGAGGATACTACGAAGTACAGTACTTGTAAATAGGAAACATAGGTACAAACACAGCAAGACTACCCGTTCGAGATATGACCACAGGATACGTAGGACGTGAACACAGCAACAGCGGATACCTCGCTTTTTTCGCACCCGTTCGACAACTTATGCCTGTCGATTGATGTTCTGCTCACTACGGAATGGTGACTCGCTCAACACGAAATTATCCGTCCCAGTTGAAGCGGACTCCGCTACATACTCAGCATCGTCTTGTACATAAGCGTGAGAGAGTGGACGTGAACTTTGTTTTAAGTTTTTGCAAGTGCGCCGTTCATGTTCTCCTTCAGCAAGTCTCCCCACGCGCAAGTACCGTTGGCAAGGCCAACACCTTCGAAAGACCAAAGGTCTGAAGCTGCAGGCCAGCTCGGCTGCCGTGCGCCGACGGCTGGATGTCCAACTGCATGAACAGTTCGGAGCTGGTGGTGCGCAGCTGGAAGTTGAAGCTACGCGAAAACAACCGGCGTTTCCTTTCTTTAGTTTTGCTCAATGCGGTAGAGGGGTCGGGCAAGCGCACCGTTAGCTGCGGCGGGTCTGTCGTCTGTCTGCTCCAAGTCGTTGTCTGATGCCCCGGTCTTCTTCCAAGCGAAGCAAAACACTTCTCACGGGTATGACCCCGAAACAGGCAATCCACACATTGTAGAACGATCACAGTACAGCACCGCGATCCATGAGGTTATCTTGTCTCCATGTTCCCCGTGTCGGCCCTGCTGCCGATATATCGTTGGTTGAAGCTTGGTTGAAGCTTGGTTGCCAACTCTGAGAGATTTGGAAGAGAGCGATGGCGAGCCTCTCTACAGCAGTACTGTAGTCGTTGCAAATCATTTCAGAGGCGGGTGTTGAGAGCCTTACCTACAGCGCACGATCTCACAACGAGGAAAACGCCTACTTGCCGTTCTCAGTGTTGGTCTTGATGGTGTTTGCATGGCCGTACAATACGAGTGTACACGAGCGGTAGGCCCAACTCCCATACTCCACGAAGTTTTTCCGTGCAAGCGGTGGGACAGCTTCTACTCGGGGCAATGCAATCCTTTGGACATGTCGCTTGAAACGCACATGTTGCCGTGCGTCACAACAGCTATCCTATGAACGCACTTCCATGTGTTTTGAGTCACACCAGCTATCCTGTGAAGGCACTTTCCACGTGTTTTGAGTCCGTCATACGACACACGGAAACATCGTGTAGCGCCACCGACTATTGCCCGCCTACACTTCGCGTGGACCCTTTCGTCCTATGCCTGCTTCGCACGTCATGAAGGCGTAAAGTCAAGAAATCAGCAGCTGTACGCTGTGCCGAACAAGACGGTGACTAAGCAGGAAATATATTTCCTCAATAACCTGCTGCATTGAAGAGAGCCGACGGTTCATTTCCATTGCAAGACCGAGGAAAAGCAGCAGCAAATAGTGAACCATCTACCCTTTCGTTCCAAGGTGTGTAGGGTTAGGGTCAGACTCAACGCCCCCCCCCCCCCCCCCCCACCACCAATTTTTTTGAAAAAGGCCCCCAATGGGAAGGGGTCAAGGGGAAAAACCCTTCGGGTTTTTTCAAAAAAAAAACCCCGGGAAATTCGGGTTGAAGGCCCCCCCCCAAAAATTTTTCCCCTTTTTTTTTTGGCTTCCCCCCAGCTTTTTTGTTTAACCCAATTCCCCCCAGGGTTTTAGGGGGGGAAAATTCAAGGGGCCCCCCTTGCCGCGGGGGTTTTATTTAAGGTTAAGGGAGGAAAAAGCCAAGGCCTTCCGGGATTTAAATTCGGAAAAACTTTCCTGGGAATTATTCCTTAATTATTTCGGGTTGGTTGGGGTTTTTCCGGGTTTCTTTGTTGGGGTTTTTTTTTTTGGGTTTTTCTGGTTTTTTTGTTTTTCCGGTCAAATTGATTTTTTTTTTTTGGTTTGTCGGGGCGGGGTTCAGTTTTTAAATTTGAAAAATAAAAGCCCC